ATATTTTACTAACTAACTGATAGAGACAATATTTAAAGTTTCAAAACTACAAACAGTAGGATAAAAGCTCAGCAGGATACAGTTGCAAGCCAGTTAAACAATTCTTCACAGCCAGCTGAACACCAGAGGAGGCCCTCTACTATGGGGCCTCGTGAGATAGGCGCAGCGGCAGGCGAGATCAAGCACTGCCTGCACTACTACCAGTTATAAGTCCAAGTGGAGCAGATAAGGGAAGAACAAGCCAGACTCTACAAACGACTGAGCGCCCTCAAATCCAGCCTGTTCCCCAAGAAACCTGTGCCAGAACAAGTTCCACAGTACCGCGGGCAAAGCTTTGGACACAAAAATGGACATCATACATGTTCATTGGACATTATGCACCATACTGAAGTGTCACATGATTGTCCAAGCACTGTTGTGTCTTGTCGTGTTGTTGCAAGTTGTTTAAAGATGACTCGCTCTGCATGATGAGTCTTTGCTCCAAGCAGTGAAAGTGATTTCTTCTCTCTGTGAGCATTTTTTTATGTGAATAGATAAGAACCCAGGTGTTGGGCAATTATCACCAGGCATGTGTGTGAGTGCACAAGAAAGTATAAGCAAACGAAAAATGAGTGTCAGCAAAAAGATAAGAAGAATACCACTTTGGGAAAATCCCTGGAAGACATCCAGCTGCGAGCAATGTATTACAAAGAATGGTGGGTTTTAAGCAATAAGTGACTGATTTACCATAATTATGATATCAGAAAATGTTTTGATCTTTGCGATCTGTCCTTTTGATATACAAAGCTTTAAAAGGGTTAATTTATTCATGCTTGTATATGTGGTAAGTATCTAGATAGCTGAAGTTAAGATCACAGTTTTAAAACTTTGTAGCTCTGTGTGTGAGCTCCTCTCTGGATCTGACTGCCTGGGCTCAACAGGATGACTTGTGTGTGTGTGTGTTTAAGCAACCGTGTGTGCTGTCAGGTAGAGGAGGACACAGAGTAGAGTGAGGGAGCACAGTAAGGATGCCCTATCTCTATCACACAGCACAGAAGACACCAGCTCACCAGGACTTCCTAGACACTCAGATGTGGCTGAGATGTCATGATCAACAGTAAGCATACCAAGGCCACAGAGAGGTAGAGCAGTGTACAGTCAGGCAGACATCTTTGCATGGTAAATCCATGACAGCCACTTAAATATATGTGAATTTCCATAGAACCAGGTGCAGCAGGAAAGAGAACCAAGAGATGACATAACACCTAGAAACAGAGGTGAGAGAGGCCCAAAAAAAGTTGAATATCAGTTGTTACATGCCATCTTGTCAACTCAGGTCTCTGTTCTGGTGACAGAATGAGACTATTTTGCATCGATCTTTGACCCGCTCCAGTAAAATTTTGTACTATTATTGGCGTCTATTTTTGTTTAAAATAAGCATGTTGGTAAAAGTTATATGCAAGTCAGCCATAACATTATGACCACTAACAGGTGATGTGATGACACCCATTATGTTGTTACCAGTGGGTGGAATATATTTGGCAGCGCGTGGAAATTTTGTATTTATTGATGATGAAAAATAATTATTTATTGATGTTTGAGACAGAAAAACTGGGCAAGCAGAAGGTTTGGAGGTACTTTGACAAGGGCCAAATTATGATGGCTGGAGAACTGGGTCAGAGCATCTCCAAATCTGCAGCTCTTGTGGGTTTTCCCGGTCCGAAGTGGTCAGTTCCTGTGAAAAGTGGAAAAGAGGAAGGAAAAACAAAGAACCGGAGACAGGGTCAGGGGCGGCCGAAGCTCATTGATGCACGTGGGGAGTGAATGCTGGCCCCTGATCCTACAGATAAGCTAAAGTAGTCAAATTGTCAAATACACACAGACCAGTCAGCGTGCGTCTCTACTGACCACTGTCCACTGCCAAAAGAGCTGTCCGTTTCAGAACTGGACCACGGAGCAATGGAAGAAGGTGGCCTAGTCTGAAGAATGACATTTTCTTTTACATCACAGATGCACACGCACTCGTGTGTGTTGCTTAGCTGGGGAACTCGTACGTAGCACCAGGATGCATTATGGGAAGAAGGCATGCCGGCGGAGGAAGTGTGATTCTTTAGGCAATACTCTGCCGGGAAACCTTATTTCCTGATGGCACTGGCCACTTTCAGCAGGATGATGCACCCTGCCACAAAGCAAAAATGGTTCAGGAATGGTTTGAGGAACACAACAGCAACAGGGTGTTGACTTGGTCTCCAAATTCCCCAAATCTCAATGCAATCGAGCATGTGTGGGATGTGCTGGACAAACGATCCATGAAGACCCCACCTCGCATCTTACTTAAGATAGGACTATTTTAGGACTTAAAGGATCTACTTCTAGTGTATTGGTATCAGGCACATCTTCAGAGCTGTAGTGGAGTGGGGTGGGGCTGTTTTAATATGATTGGCTATGTCAATCAATCACACACTCCACATCAGAACATGGTGAAACAGTTGAAATGACCCATAGCCCAACTATTTGTTCTTCAAAAATCATGGAAATGTGACAAACGCAAAGGTTGTGCTGAAAAGATGTGGGAGAAAAAAAGTAGTTGCTTGAGGCAGATGCAGCAAAGTGCCCCAACATTATGGTGCTTTCAGACCAAAAGAAGCGAGCGTTCGGGGCAGTCAGTTTACATACAAAGTCAATGCAAAGACGCGTAGAGCCGCGATTTCCTGTCGGAAGGCGCGAAGCGATGCGAAGGTGGCGGGGCCGGCAACACTTTTATAAAACCTTGACTTTTACTCTTTTCTCGAATATTTTATGGGCCAGTAATCTGTTTAACTTCCCTACATGTGCTATTTATTCCTTCATAACTTCTTTAGTTAGTTAATTTGTCTGTTATCTACTATGCATTTTGCTTTATTAACCGAAATGAGCTGTCAACCAAGCTGTATGCGCCCAGTTATGCAGGACAGCGCCAGGGCGCCTGTCCCTGAACTGACAAGAAAAACCAAACCTTAAAGTGAAAAGGTATTAGCCTGATTTTCTAAAGCTTTGCATGTGCTAGTGGTGTCAGTGTTGGAAAGCAGCCTGCATCACCCACTCACAAGCTGCAGAAATTCTTTCACTTTGCATTGCTGCCCGATTAAAGCGTATTTATTACTATACGCTATAGCATCTAAGTATCTCATTGTGAAGAGCGTGGTTTTCTTATGGAATCATTTTCTTTAATGACCTGTCCGTTTTACGCCCTATGTCAGCTGGGATTGGCTCCAGCCCCCCCTTGTTTTCGTATGCTGTGCCCGAATAGTGGGCTGACAAGGGGTAATTTGCCATGCCATTTTTGTAAAAGAAATTTATTGTTGTAAATGTTAAGTGGGGTATATTATTGTGATTTATATAATATCAATAATAATATTAAGTTCTTTCATCTGACTTCTTAGTACAATAACATGAAACACAATTTTTCAGATTAAGATATGTTTTATTTGATCTTCATTCGCCAGAATAAAAGTAAAAGTACATTTTTGAAAGCACACGTTACACCAATAAGTGAAAATTAAACAGTAAACAATTAAGTTCTTGTAAAGCAAACAACAAGTAAAATCAAGAACAGGTTTATGTTTAGAAGATACGAAGAAGAAATACGTAGTAGCTCATCACAGTCTGTATTATCTCTACTGATTATCTTTCTACACTTCTATCTACTTTTGCAGTACAGACGTTTCCTGTTTGACCTGGATACTGATGATGTGTTTAGGCTAGTGATCATGATTATTCACTCTCTTGAAAGAATGAATAGAAATTGCTTGATACGTTCAAACAATGCAGCACTGAAGGAGTATTGGTCTTCACTTAGGCTTCCCTTTGTCATTTGTTTGCTCTGCACTTCTTTATACATGGCATCTGAGTAGTGCGTCCCCCCGTTTCCTGCAACCATGTCATCGATCTTCTTGATCAGCTCCACTACTTGACTTCTGGCTTTATTGGTGTTGTCAAAGACGTGGAACCTGTTTCCACAGCAGGACATGAGACTTGGACACATTTTACAATTTCTTTTTTGATGATATCTGGGGATTTCGAAGTGTCCAGGATCCCTGGTGTGTCTACCACACTAAGTACTCTGTTATTCCAGAGTACCGCAGCTTTTTGACACGTCTCAGTCACCGACTCTGAACAGGGACGGGATCTGAAACTTCTCTCTCCCAGAATGGTGTTTCCAACAGCACTCTTGCCCACACCAGTTTTTCCAATCATCACAATTCTCATATCAGGACCTGCAAAACAATTCATAACTTGTGTTCAAGCTGTCTGAAAGAGTAAATCGTTGGCTTGATGTACATATATTTTAGTGAATATGAGCACATAGAGCAGATTAAAACAAAAATGTTTTGAGTCTTACCAGCAGGAAGAGCCATTTTCTCTCAGCACTGTTTTCTGTGCAGAGACGACAAAGATGAATGTAAAGGCATTTGTTTGAGACATTGTTGTTTCTTTATATAGTAACTACACGGCTGACACACCCCATAATATTTGCATAACAGCTCCATATAAAACAGGCAAAGACAAGGACATTCTGCAGATACCTCACAGCTCGTCTGGCTCCTTGCTGCACAGGATCCAAGGACCATGTCTGACAGTAAGTTAAACTTTTTCTATTCAGCATCTTTGTTTGTAATGCTCTCTTTACTTTGCATTAATACAACTCTATTGTTGAAGTCAAAGGATCCACTTTTGAATAATTAAGGGAAATTGAAACCATGTACAGATTTCTTTATTGTATCAGATTAAAAAATGACATTATGTTTGTTGTTTTCACAGAAAAGAAGATTTCAATCATTGTTCTGGGAAATGGAGATTCTTTGAAGAAAGCCCTAATAACCAACATCCTAGGGAAAGATTTATTTAAACTAAACAAAACAAGTGTTCTCAAAGATACTCAGATCTTTGAAAATGATATATATGAGGTCACATGTACACCAGAATTGGACACAGCATGTAAGAACATAGAAGCACAATTTGCTCTTAATTGCCACCCTGACATGTGTCTGTTGGTGGTAGAGGATGGATTTTCAGCAGAAGAGGTGTGGCGACAGATAGAAAGGCTGAACCAAATAACAGGAAAACCCACAGAAGAGTTCAGAGTTGTTCTGCCACTGAGCTCTGAACATCCAGATTCTTACCCATTCAGATGCAACACCACGGAGCAGGTTGTCAGTGAACTGAGAGGGCTGGCTGTAGAAAGAAATCTGACGTCAACCAACAAGAGGTAAAAGGAAACATGCAGATTTATAATTGGACGTAACTTATATATAATATGTTGGTGTACACTGGTGCATGCCCATATTTAGTAAATGTAGTCTACAGGACTGTTATATTTGTTTGTATACTCTTACACTACAGATGAAGTAACACTGCCTCTACTTTATAGGCATGCTGACCATCCTCAGTCAGATGCGTCATCACACAGAGAGAGAGGTGAGCCACAGTCTCTCTCAGCTGCATCTTTCTAACCTATAGCCAAATGGATGATGGTGTATCAGGGCCACTGTAGTAATAGACGATCTCTGCGATTATAAGATAAGAAAATAGGTTTATTAGTCAACAGATGACCTGAACACAGGCGATGGGCTGAAGTTTTTAGGACTCACACTCCGGGTCCAACTAGCGCATTGCAAGTTAGCACCTCAGCGTGTCAAATGTGATCCAGTCTCTGTGGATTTTTGATGTGTTCTGTGACTTTTTCTCTTCCGTAACCCGCTAGAACAGCAGCCTCTCTGTGTACAGCCTCCCGATTTACAAATTAAGTACTGGCCTCTCCTAATGTTTAACATTGCCCCCCTTCTTCATTACAATCCTACCACAACAATTCACTTTAGCTTTGGACCTGGCAGGCTCCATAACTTTTTTTTGATCTACAATAACCCTAATATGTTGTCTTACAAATGTGTAGTGTTTACTGAAGGTGGATTAATTAAAAAAGAACCAAAAGATTTCATCAAACTTACAAAAACAATTTTTTTGCCTTTCCATTCAGGTGGCAGATCCTGGGTATGGAACCCTTTCACCAAGAATTTCAAAAGTGAGACCTTTGTTTTCAAGATGTAAAGTATCACAGAAATGCAGTATTTTGTGTATGTGTTTAAAGACAAGAAATCAAAATGTCCTTTAAATGAAAATGTGCTGGGATTTATGAAAACAGATCACTGTAAAGTTCCCTCAAGGTGTTTTTCTACATCAATGCAGGAAAGTCCTCTGGCACCACAGTGACCCTTGTTCTGCTGGGAATGGCCGGGACTGGAAAGAGTGCGAGTGGAAACACAATCCTGGGAAAGAAGCAGTTCACGTCTAGAACCAGTTCAAATCCGACCACCACAGAGTGCCAGGTGGCAGAAACAGAGATAGACGGTACACGTGTACGGGTCATTGATACCCCAGACATCTTTGATGATGAGATTAAATCATCAGTTAAGAACAAACATGTGAGAAAGTGCAAACAGCTCTGTCAGTCAGGACCTTGTGTTTACTTACTTGTGATTCATGTTAGCAGATTTACAGACGGTGAGAGAGACATACTGAAAAAGCTGGAAACAGCTTTTGGTAACAACGTTCAGGAACAAACAGTCATCCTGTTTACTCGTGGGGACGACCTGCAGCGTGCAAAGATGAGCTTGAAGAACTTTTTGAGTGCCTGCCAGACAGATCTCAGGGAAATAATTAAAAAGTGCGGCAACAGGTGTGTTGTTTTTGAGAACAGTGGCTCAGATTCAGGTCAAGTGGAGAAGCTAATGCAGACAGTGGACAGCCTATCCACTGTCTGATAAAAAGACGGAAGAAACAATAACTGTGTATGAATCAGACCAGATTAATGAAATGCTGGGATGAAATAAATCATTAATCTGAAACTGGTTGATTATAAAGTTATGACTTTTATTTTGGTTTCCTCTTACTTTGCTTTATAATTAGCAGCATTTAACTAGAGATTTATGTGTTTTTATATTATTTTTTGATTCTGTTAAAGAAGTCTAACATGTCTCTTTACTGGTGCAGCAGCTCCCTCCTGTCTCACGTTGTTAACTTTTGTAAACTATGATGACATACATGTTACATTTACCAATAAAGCCCAGTTTTGCTGTATACCCAGTGTCTCATATAGTTTCTGGTTATTCCTCCACACAGATTTGTGATTTAAATAAATTCTTCTCATTTATAGATTTAGAGCTAAGAGGACGAGGGGGAAATGTTGTCCTAAATAGTGCTGACTTGTAAAAAGAATATCTTTAAAATAAATAAATAACTATTGACATGTGTGACACAATGTAAAGTGTAACATGGTTTGCTTAAATTCCCCCCACCATTTAGGGTTTTCTGCTGGAATATGTAAGTGGAAACTAACTTCATGATCCTGGCATACACAGCCAATCACTACATCAATATCACTACTAACTAAAAACTAAAGGCAATATATATCATGGCCATACAGGCTAATGTAGGCCTACTGTACTTAAGGGAGACACTACAAGTGAATACAGTAAAACTTGTCTCTAATAACGTCATCACAATCGCCAATTTGCACACATTTGACAAGTCAGTGCAGGTGAATGGGATAAATAAAATAACTAAAGCATATCACCACAGAACGTCCCCAGTTAATGACTTACATCAAGAGTCTTTTCCCCTGAAATGTTGTTTAAAAATGCAGATAAGCTCGTTTTAGTTCAGAAGAAATCTACAGATGCAAACAGCATGAGGTCAGGCTTAAAACTAACACCATCCAAATGCGTATTCTTGAACTTTTATTTCCATGAGAGTAAAAGAAGACATGGAAGCAAAATATGAAAAAGTGTCCTGCCTTAAACAGTAACTTTATTTTTCTGATCATAGGCTCCTCATCTAATAACTATCCATTCTATTGGTTTGTTGGATGCTGATTGATTTTTTACATGATACAGGCAGCCCTTCCTTAAAATGTGAAAGTCTTACCATCAGTTATGTGTGTGTGTGTGTGTGTGTGTTTATAATATAATAGCAACAATAATAATGTATTTGATCAATACATTATTGTATTCAGGCAATTCAGTATTCTGTAGCTTGGCTGTGTGAAGCTGAAGGTTATCTTTACTCATTTGGCATCTTGCTTGTGAAACAAAAAGTATTTAAATAACATCTATTTTAATTATGGCTGCAGCCCGACGATTTTTGTTGATTTTGAGGTGTTATGTATTCCAATAATACCAAAACAATTAAAACGATTGATTGCCTTGTGAAAAATAAACAAGTTATTAGTGACACTAAGTCCCTGTCCTTGGTGCAGTCATTTATTCTAAATGAGCCCGTTCTCATCTCAGGGCATCCAATACCAACGCTTTCAGAAAAAAGTGAAAAAACGTAGTTATTTGACACTAAAGGTACCCTTCAGCGTCTATATGAGACGCTCTGGGGAATCCCGTACAGACCGGTAGTGCTAGTCCTAGTTAGCTAGGTAGCCACGTTCATGATAAAAGTGTTAAGCCCCCGATGAAGGGTATCTTTACCATAAAATCCTCACGCTTTGTCGAGCTGTCTGAAAGCATCAGTTATGACGTATTAAAATGAGTAATGCGTTGTCTAAATAGATAGCCTACTATTAGCAAAGAAAACATGCACATTGTGGCATAGTTTCCTTTGCTGTTGCCTGCTCCTGTGATAAACCTCGTGAATACTTAAAACTTGGTCTCTCTCTCAACTGATTATTGTAGTGTTATTGAGTGTTAGGGAATTAAAATAAATTGCTAAGGAAGTCTAATATATTTAATGTTTTGTTCAAAAAGACTTCAGTAAATAATTATGAGAAGTGCCCTTTTTTCCACAGCCCACCAATATGCCTGTGCACGTCCCTGCCAGAAACCTTAGCAAAACGAAGCGCGCCGTGTTTAGATTGACGACTGTTCCAAGCCAAGGCTCAAGTTCATTTAGGTGTGCCAGTAAGACATGCCAAGAATGCACATCTTATAGTCTATAAAAATGTTTTTAAATTTACAACAGTGTTTGGCAAACCAAATAAAATAAAAAAGCCAGCTTAAACATTACCAGTTTCATCACATGTGACTTTTAAAAGGTTACAAGAATAAATAATAAACAGCAGCGAGTTCTGGATGTAAAACACACAGAGGAAATGAAAGGTGTTAAAAAAAAAATCGTCAAATTCTGGGTGAAATGTTAATTTTTTTTATTTGTAAGTTTATTGCAGCTGTGGAGTTAAATGCTGGTGCATCACAGCTAACAAATAAAATTGACAGCGGTATCATAAGTGTTAAGACATTTTCAGAAACAATGGATGCTAAACGTCTGTGTACAAAATAATGTGTGCATATGAGCAACGTGTGAAAGATAAGAAGGTGACATGAAGTTAAAGGGTTTGATATACAGAAACACAGGACGATCTGGATTAACCAGATCTACATGACTGCCTTCTTTAAGATCAATCAATGACAGTTGGTTTCACAAACATCATTTAAAGAAAATCTGCTCCTGCTCTCTAGTCCTTCCTTGTTCCTCAACAATGTCAAGTCACTTTAATTTATGTAGCTCAACATCCCGGTGCAGAGCTGATGACTCATTGCAGAGGGTGAAAGTTCCTCTAGTAGACATATACAGTGCTCTTTCTGCCCCACACTTTTATTGTTTGCAAGGAAAATAATACAGCAGACAGACTGTCAGCTGCTTTCATGCATGTAAGTTTGGTTCGTCTAACCAGGGAAAAAATATACATGGTTGCACATTAAGAGCAGACCGTTTTGGTGACTGTCATCCTGCATAATCAGGACCCTCGTGGGGAAACTGAATGCAGTGTCTGATTAATGTTTCAGATCACAAATTTGCCTGAAGGATTGTAACCGTCTGGACAGCATACAACACCCTCTGTCCTAACTGCTGTTCCTTGAGTAGAAATAACTTTTTTTGAGCTTATCAGCAACTAAACTCATTAGCAAATGAGGCCGGGTCCTTAATGTAGCCTATGGTCATAGGTGTCATTTCCACTGGTCCCCACCACTTTTTAAAAGCATAATTTGTAAAAAAAAAAACATGCAATGCAATTAAAATATAGAAAAAAAATAACTTAAAAAATATGCTCCTAATAATGAAAGGACCCCAAAAACGTGCCACAACAATCAGTAACTTTAACTACTTCTTGACAGTTTCTTTTTGGCCAAGTTTTCCGTTCTCTCCCTTTGAACATGAGGGAGCAGGAACAGCAGGGATGATGTCACATGAGAAAAGTTGATCTACAGGAGAAACAGATCTGAAAGCAGCACAGAATGCCTGAGAGCTGCACTGACTGACATTCTATTATATTTATATATTTTGAAATGCCACCTGAATTTTGTGTTTCCTTTTACATAAATACAAAAATTCCACCATAGATTGGTGCAGAAACTTTCACCAGAATGCAGGAAATGAACTGTCTTAAGTAATTTAAGTATCTCTTCGTCTTGTTCTTGTGAACCCTATATCTACGCGTACTGTGATGTCTTACGAGCTAAGTGTTTCTTCACACCCCTAATTCAAAGGGCTACAGTGTGTCACCATCACTTTGCATTACAAAGTGACGCCCTTGCCTATGGTAAATTTATTCCTTATACTATATGTATATATGTTATAAAAGTATTTATGTATATATAAATTGGCCCATGTGTTAATTAGATTTATATAATAACAGCAGCAATAATGATAATAATAAGTGTATCATCTCTTTCTTTCTTTTTCTTTAACTTTTATTTAACCAGATGATCTCATTGAGATTTATAACCTCTTTTTCAAGAGAGACCTGGCCAAAATGGCAGCATATTAACAGTGCACAAATATGAACACCAAGCACAGGCACAACAACAAGGAATCTCAATTCATATTAAAATCACATAAAACATGAAACAAGATGTATAATTATTGTGTATTTCACGTTAATTTTCCAGAATAAAATAAAATGACAAAGATGAATGTCAAGGGATTATTAAGAACGTTGCTGTTAGATTATATAGTAGCTGACACGCCCCATTACATTTACATAACAGCTCCATATAAAACAGGCAGGTACATTCTGCAGATACCACACAGCTCATCTGGCTCAGTGCTGCACAGGATCCGAGGACCATGTCTGACAGTAAGTTGTGTAACAATAATTTTCTATCC